GCGAGGTCTCTCAGGAGTAGGTGTGCTCAGTCTGTAGAGGACTTCTCACAAATCCAACACAAACTGCTCGGAGACCTTCGCAATCTTCTTGACCTGGTTCCGTGGAAGATCTGACACGTCTCCTTTTAGGACCTTCTTCAATTGCTGAATCCACATGTCTTCGTCTTGGTGAACCTTAATTCTCCTCCAACGTTCCTCCTGGTATCCGGACTGGACTACAGGAGTCCAAGAACCTGCGTCCGCTTCCGTACGTGCCCTCGTCATCACCTTCAATGCTTCCGCCGCGGTAGCTAATGGCTCAGGTATCCCGGTATCAGGACTATCCGCTTCGAGTTTGACTTGATCCGAGCGAACCGTATCCGTCACAGGGGTGCCTAGGATTTCCGAAGGCTTCATGATCTTTTCGGGAATTCTAGACACGAGGCGTAGATGCACTATCTCATCAGGGTCATTGAGTTCCCCGGATTCTCCGAGCACAAGAGTCTTAGAGGTCAGGTAGTCAGCCGCTTGGTTAAACTCACGTTTAACATGAATCCATTTGACTGACACAAAATCCTTCCTGAGATCTTCATACTCAGCTAAGCGTCGTTGCAGGTTGGGCTGGTTGCGATTAATCAGACCCTGAGCCTGTTGGACGACGATTCGAGAATCACCGACTACCACAAGCTCCTTGACATCGTACTTCATAGCGAGCTTTAGTCCCAGAATCAGACCATGGTATTCAGCGTCGTTGACCGTCACACCTTCAAGGATGTGTCCCTCAGCTTTCACAACCTGCCATCCTGGCAGCTTCCACAGTATGCATCCACAACTTCCTCGGCGAGTGGAAACCTTCGCAGCGCCATCTAAACTCAGAACGTAGCCTTGGTAGGCTGCTTCCAACATTTCGAGACTCACTGGTGGCATCACTTTCAGACGCCCCTTGGCGGGAATCAGGGTTTCTGCAACTTCATCTAAATGTTCCCTGGGAGTAATACCAGACCCGAAGATAGCCGCAAGGCCATCCTCATCTTTCTGAGTCCGATGGAT